CTGTCTTTTTGCTTAGGATCTTTGGCATTAATGGAGGTAAGCCAATGACCCATTTGCTGACAGGTAGACCTTGCTAATTAATGTTATATTGTTCTGAGATCTGCCTCAGTTTACCCATTTGTCAAAATTCAATCATGACACTTGCTGTTCTTCAAATAAGACATTCCATCTCCAGATAACTGGCATTTTACTGGCTGCCCCCCAAGCCTGGAATTCTCTACCTCCTCATGTTCACTTCCTGCTTCCCTGGCATCCTTTAGGTTCCAGCTAAAATCCTACCTCCTATCAGAAGCCTTTTTCAATCCTTCTTAATTCTAGTGCTTTCTTCTGTTGATTATTTTCAATTTATCCTGTAGTTAGCTTGTTTGTACATAGTTTTCATGTTGCCCCTCTCAAGTAGATGTGAGCTCCTTGAAAACAGGGACTGTCTTACACTTTTCTTTGGATCCCCAGCACTTGGCACAGTGCCTGTACAGAGAAAGGGCTTAATAAATGTTCATTGACTGAGTGATCTCTTTCTACCCCAAATCACAGAATCCTATCATCCTCTGGTAGTTTATAATCAAAATACACGTACAGATTTTATTAGTAGTTGAACTGAGTTAAAATAAGCCTTCTTGTTTTCTGCCTGGCACATAGTAAATGTTGTTTATTGACTGGTTTCCATTAATATATATTGAGAACTATGATAAAAGACAACAATATGATCCAAATGTCTTAGCAATAATAATCCTTCATAGGATCATGGATTTAGCACTGGGAGGGATTTAGATCAGTCCAACCACCTCATTTTACAGATGAAGAAACTGAGGTCCAGAATAGCTAAGTAATTTTTTCAATGTTACACAGCAATGCATATTATTACATATTTACCTTCAAAAATTATAGCACAATTTATTTTATATTCACATGGTATGTTTCACCTATAATACTATTGAAAGTAAAATTTTGACATCTGAGATGTTTCAAGAGTTTTGAGGTCCAGTTCTGCTTTGCTCTTTTAATATGAACTGCCTCAGAAGGCTGGACTGAATACAGAGCAGCCAGTATATTCAGAGCCATTCTAAGACTAGTGTATAGTAGCACCAAAATGTCCAACTCTCCTTGTAAGTTGTTTGAACTGGATGACTGCCTGAAAACTGTATTTCGTTAATTTTGAGTTTCTCTGTCCATTATTAGCTTTGTGCCCTTAGGCAAACTACTTCTCTAAAGTCCATTTATCCACCTATAAAAAGAGGGGGTTGGATTACAGCATATTGAGGTTTCCTTCCATCACTAAATCTTGTGGCCTATCTTTCTTTAGTCTGTAGTTGCTCAATTTAAAACATTTTAAGATGTCCTAGGTTTGAGAAATGGAGAGGTTGGGAGAAGGGGTTTTTCATATTCTAATCTGAATACATGCTTCTATTGGAATAGGGGAGCTCCAGAGAGAAGTTACTTCTGTCAATGCAAATTGTCAACAGTTGTACAATTTACAGTTGGACAGAGCTGCTAGAAGGCACAGAAAGGTTAAATTATTTGCCATGGGTCCAGTTACACAACCACTAGGAGTCAGAGTCAGCACTTGATCTCAGGTCCTATTTAAAAGGTGGCAATCTACTCCTCTTATTAGGGATTTTACAAAAGGGAAATGCAAAGGCCCAGAAAGTATCTGTGCATGTTGGGGGAAAGAAGCCCAGAGCCTCCCCGTTAGAAAGTGAGCTCCTTGGGGGCAGGGACAGTGTTATTGTCTTAGTGCTGGCACCATTCTTGCATTTTGTCTGGTGCCTCTTACTGGACCATTCCTTCCTCATCCTACCCTCCATCCCCTAAGCCCTGATAGATCAACTTTTGCCTTATCATGTTGAGGACCCAGACAGAAAGGCTGTGCTGTGGGGTCTGAGTACCCCTACTATGCCCCCACTCCCCTAGCTCTCCTTTATGTGCAGTCCTCCTACATTACAACTTAGAAGGGAATTAAAAAATCAGAGAGATTGAGGAAAAATTGGGGGGGGGAAGCAATCCAAGAAAATTACAAAAAGAGAGCTCACCAATTGGAAAAAGAGATACAAAATCTTAAGGAATAACTCCTTGAAAGCTAGAATTGGGCAAGAGGAATTGAATGATGTTATGAGACACCAAGAAACAATAAAACTAGAAAAAGTAGAAGAGAATCTGAAACATCTCATTAGAAAAAACAACTGATCTGGAGAACAGATCAAGGAGAGACAACATGAGAATTGTTAGACTATTGAAAGTTATGATAAAAAAAGAATATGGACACAATATTTTAAGAAATTATGCACAGTAGATAGAGCTCTGGCCTTGGAGTCAGGAGGACCTGAGTTCAAATTTGACCTCAGACACTTGACACTAGCTGTGTGACCCTGGGCAAGTCACTTAACCTCGATTGCCTCACCCAAAAAAGGAAAAAAAAAAAGAAATTATTAAGAAAAATTGCCCTAAAGTTCTAGAACAAGAGGGTATAGTAGTAGCAAAAAATCTACCATTCACTATTTGAAAGAGATTCCAGAAGGAAAACTTAGAGGAATGTCATAGCCAAGTTTCAAAACTCCCAGGTTAAGGAGAAAATATTGCAAGCAACAAGGAAAAAAAAACCAAAATAGTATAAATATTGCAGAAATACAGTCAGGATTTCACAAGACCTAGCAGCTTCTACTCTAAAAGACTGTAAGTCTTGGGACATTATATTTTGAAGAGCAAAAGAGCTGGGGTTGTGTCCAAGAATAACTTATCCAGCAAGGTTGCGTATAATCCTAAATGAAAAAAAAATGGATATTTGACGAATTATAATGTAAGCTCTTTGAAGGCAGGAGTTGGCTTGCTTGCTGGCATTAGTAACCCCAGCCTTTAACATAGTGTTTGACACGAAATACGCACTTAATAAATGCTTTATCTATCTGTAACCAGGTAGTCAGCCCAGTGGCACCAAACTCTGCCCACTGGTGTAGACTGATGCCAGCATACAAAAACAATAAATGTTTGTTGATTGATTGAATGAATGGAATGTGTTGGATGAGAAGTCAAAAGGCTCTGGGTTCAAATCTTTGACCTGAAGCTAGGTGACCCAGTAGATAAAAGCGTTGGATTTGGTGTCATAAAGATCCAACACTTAGTAGCTGTGTGACCCTTGGCAAGTCACTTAGTCTATTAAGTGACTCCTTGGTCCACTCATCTGTAAAACAGGAATAACAATAGCACCTATCCCACAGGGTGGTTATGGGGATCAAATGAGATGACATAGTTAAAGTCAACACAAATCAAAAAGCATTTATTGAAGGCTTAATATATGTCAGGCACTGTTGTAAGGGCTTAAGATATGGATGCAGGCAAAAGCGAAGAGCCTCTGCCATCACAGAGCTTAATTCTAATGTGAGAAAACAACATAAAAGAGAAACAGAAAAGCAAAGGGGGAAGGGGGAAGGAGGTATGTGCCAGGTGGGCACAGTCAGGGCTGGCAGGAGAATAAGGGATGGCTGATCTGTGCCCTTCCTCAAAATGGAACTCACCAATGGGAGAAGGGGGCCACAGAAGAGAGAAGGCAACTGAAGCGTGATGGCAAAATCTGGAGGCAAAAGCTTTGATTAATATTAAAGAGTGAAGTTGATGATGATGACTGCCTACCTCTGTGACTTTGGGAAAGATTTTTTATCCTCTCTGGGGTGTGTGTGTGTGTGTGATTTTCCTCAATTTTAAAATGTTGCAGCTGGATTAAAAACCTCTAGGGTCTTTTCTAGGTACAACACTGAAACTAAGACCCCTTAATCCACACACTTCACTATCAGAAGTAGTTTGAGAAAGTGTAAAAAGGGCACTGGCCATAGAAGTCTGAAAGACCGGAGTTTTACACCTGCCTCTGGAACTTCCTGGTTATGAAGCCTTAATCAATAAATATTTATTAGGCATTTACCAAGGGCAGCTAGGAAGTCAGGAAGGCTCATCTTCCCAAGTTGAAATCCAGCCTCAGACACTTAATAGCTGGGCAAATCACTTCACTCAGTTTGCCTTAGTGCATCATCTACCAAATGAGTCGGAGAAGGAAATGTAAACCACTCCAGTATCTTTGCCAACAGAAACGCAAACAGGGTGAAGAAGTGTTGTACACACCTGAACAACAAGAAGCAGTTGCTATATGTGCTAGGCACTGTGGTAACAGCTGAGGATACAAAAAAGAAGCAAAACGGGCTCTGCCCTCAAGGAACTTACAATCTAATATGGAAGAAGACGTTCAAACAAAAATGCACAAGTTGTATACAGGTTAAATATGAGCTACTTAACAGAAGGAAGGAACTGGAATTTAGCAGGGTTAGGGAAGGTTTCCTGTAGAAGGCAGATTTTATCTGGGACTGACGAGGGAGGTCCGTAGGCAGAGTTGATGAGAAGGGAGAGAGTTTGTTCCAGGTTTGGGGGCCAGACAGAGAAGACACCTAGAGCTGACAGACTAGTGTCTTGTTCATGGAAGGGCCTGGGTAACTGGACTGAAAATGTAAGAAGACATGCATGTTTTGTTTCGGTTTTTTGTATTTTTTTTTTTTTGGTGTAATCAGGTTTTCCTTTTTGGTCAATTAATAAAAAATTAAAAAGTAATAAAATTAACTGACTACTATGTGCCAGGTACTGTGCTAAGTAGTAGGGATACAAAGAGGCAAAAGCCAGCCCCTGCCCTCAGGGAGCTTACAATCTAACAGGGGCACAAGCAAACAAATACACACAAAAAAGTTATATAATCTTGTATATATAAATAATCTTGTTCGTGGTGCCGAACTCTAAAATGACGTCCTGGCTAATCACCTGGGGCTGGTCTTTTCCAGCTTTGCCATTCAGTGACTATGTGACTGGGGTTGGGGTGCCTCCCTTGGGGAAGCCCCGAAGCGTTCCTCTGCCCCCTCCCTAGGCCCGGGATTCCTACCCAGACACTCGCACCGCACGCGGTCCTCTCCAGCTCCCACGTGCCGGAAACGGAGCGGAGAGGGGGCGGGCGCTTCCGGGGCGCCAGAGGTCGCAGCGGTGGCAAGATGGCGGCCCCCTTAGAGCTCAGGTGCTGGGGCGGCGGTTGGGGGCTTCCGTCGGTCCACAGCGAGTCCCTAGTGGTTCTGGTAAGGGGCACGTCCCTCGGGGAGGGCGGGGTGGAGGGTTGCGGGCGCGGAGCTGCTGACGCGCAGCTTGAGCTCCACCTGTCGCTCCCTCCACCCTCCTCCCCCGGGAGCCAGCCACCTCCTCCGCTGCGGGGGGCCAGGAGGGGAGGGGCGGAGTGACCGGCGGGAGGCGGGAGCGCCAGCCTGGGTTGGGGTCCTCCAGGAGCCTGGGCTCGAATCCCGGCTCCGCGTCTTCCTGCGTCTGTGACCTTGGTCCAGTCCCTGCCTGTCTCTGGACTTCAGGTTCCTCATCCCCTTGGTAAAGGGGGAGGGACTGGCCGGTGGGGGGAAGGGGGGACACGCCAGCCCCCTCCCCCACTTAGATGTAAGACTAGGGGAGGTGGACTCGATGACCCTAAGGGCCCTTCGACTAACTGTCAGAACTTGGGGGAGTGGTCATGGGCTTGCACCGCCCCCAGCCGTGCTGTCACAGTTGTGCCACAAGGGTCAACCCCGCACCCCAAGGTCCTGCGAGCATGGGGTCGTCTGGGGTAAGCGGCTGGAAGGAATAAATCTGCCCCCGTACCCCGCCCTGCCCCGCCCCCCACCTCTCCTGCTCCCCATCCCCCCGCCCCACCCCCCATTTGTCCTCCCCCCTCCCGCCCTGCCCCGCCCCCTCCTCTCCTGGCCCCCCCCTGCGCCCCACCCCCATGTGTCCTCCCCGCCCCTCGCCCTGCCCCTGCCCCTGCCCCTTCCCCAGCCGCCTGGGGTAGTGCAGCGGCTCCGGCTCACATCTGGCCAGGTGTGTCCCGCTGCTCAGAGATGATGGTTTTGAAACCAGTCAGTGTTTTGAGTTGATGTGTCCGTACCTGGACTGAAATGTTTTACCGCACGCTCTATTTTCAGGCTTATGCCAAGTTTTCTGGTGCGCCCCTGAAAGTCAGTGTTATAGATAACACCTGGAGAGGTTCGAGAGGTAATAGTGGAACATTTTAAACCTTTTCTTCCGCCTCGATCTTCCAAGTATTTCAGGTTAGAGTGGTGAGGTTGTCATTAATAAACTTGACAAAGGGAAGAGAGTCTTTATTTAAAAAAAAAAAAGTTATGCATGTTGCTTTTAGCTCAGTTGAAGTTGTGTTTGGGGGTAATAATGGAACATTTTAAACCTTTTCTTCCAACTTGATCCCTCAAATATTTTAGGTTAAAGTGGTGAGGTGTCATTAATGAACTTGACCGAGGGAGAATCCTTAAAAAAAGACTTATGTATGTTGCTTTTAATTCATTGGAAGTTGTGTTTGGGTTATTTCAATTCTTGGTGTAAGCCAAGTCAGGGTCCCAAAATTTCCCCTTTCAATTTTAAAAATATGTGTGCTCACTCATAGTTTGTCCCCACAAATGTGGAATTGATATAAATTTAAAGCACTGGTCAAGTTAAGTGAAATGTTTTGTTGTATGTAAACTGTTCTTCAATTACTTATAGTTCTGATTTATAGGAGATGTACCTATTTTGACATCAGAAGACAATACTGTATCTCAACCGGCAAAAATACTTAATTTTTTGAGAAAACAGGTGGGTGGTCATTTTATTAAAAAAGACGGTTAACCTGCTCATTTTCTCAGTTTGATTTTTTTGACTTTTCTTCCCCTGATGCTTTTTATGATTAAAATTTTTTTTAAAGAAAAATTATTTTCGTTGAGTACATCTGTCCTTTATTAGTAATCACCTAGTATATTTCTAAATAGCAAATTATCAGCTTTTAGGAACTATGCTCCATCATTGTTTGACTTTGAAACACACACACACACACACACACAATATATAAATGTTTTATATATAATGTAATATATGGAATATGTTTCATATATATGTAATATATCCAGTTTATAATTTTATACACTGAATTTGCCTAGCATTTTATTAAATTTCTGAAACTTATGTTAAAGAAAAGTTCTCACATTCACTGATTCTAGACTTGGAGTGAGGAATACCTGGGTTCATAGCCCATCTCAGACACTTACTGGGTGTGACCTTGAGCAAATCATTTAACTTCTGTACTTCAGTTCTCTCATCTATAAAATAAGGGCCATAGAATAGATGACCTCTAAGATTTCTTCTAGCTCTAAATCTATGATCCTTTGAGCTCCAAGTTGGAAGAGGTCATTTAGGTCAACACCCCGAGTCTGATGCAGGAATACCCTCGGTAAGTGGTTGTTCTTTTCTTGAACTACCCTAGGGCTGGAGTACTTACTACCTTCTAAAGCAAACCATTGCATTTAAAAAAACTTTTAGTTATCAAAAAATGTCTTTGAATATTGAGCTGAAATGTACCTCTTTGGAACTTCCACTTTCTACTTAATGTCCCGGTTCTCCCATAGACAATGAAGAATTGTCCAAGTCTTATTTTTCCTTTCTAAGTATTAAGGCAGCTTTCATGTCTCCCCATTTTGTCTTTTAACTGTAAAATTAAGGTATGATTGACTGATAATTACACTTAGGTACATAGTTATAGGAATAGACTTAATGTTTTTCCTTAAATGGGAGGAGCAGTGTGGTTAAAGAGCTGGCTTTTTGAGTCCAGGAAGACATGGATTCAATTCCTGCTTCTGACATGTACTGGCCGTGTGACCCAGGGCAAATCATTTAACCTCTCATTGCTCTTTAAGCAACTCACTAAGACTATAATTTAAAAAAAGGGGTCTCCATATATCAATGAACTCACAGTACAAGTCTGTCTATTCTACAACAATCCATTAATCATCAAAGTACTTGAGTGCCTACCATGTTTATGGTACTATAGTAAACATACAATCAAATTGTAGTACTTGGCAGTCCTCAAACTTGCCCTACATTTTCCGAACCACATATTTATTTTATTTCCTTAAGTAGCTAAGTTCCCAGTGTTTGAAGCATACTTCGTCCTCCCTCTAAAATTTTTACCAAAAATTAAAATGCTTTTGAGATGTAGACACTTTGTTTTGGTGGATATTAGTGAAATAAGTCTTATATTATGATAGGGATAGTCATATGTAAAATTAAAATTAGTAAGACAGATTGGGAGTCATTTCCTAATAGATATTTCTGTACCACAAGTATTGCATGCTGATTACCAGTGTCTGGCAGCTTCAGCAGAAAGGTCAAGGAATGGCTATGTGCCTCCTTGTTATGATCCCTTCATGTAAGAAAGAATCATATTTATAGAGGGAAATGTGAACACTTTTTTTTTTTTAGCATTTTCAGAAGTACTTACTTTGCTCTGAAGTTAATATATAGTAACTGCTATAAAATAACTGAAGTATAGTTTTGTTACTAGGCATAAAGTAAAATAGACCAAACCCAGAGAAGTAACTTGAATTAAGTGGAGATAGCTTTCTGATTTTGCTTTATTTTATTTTATTTTGCTTTTTTTTTTTTATCACAGGATAGATTTTTATAGATTGGTTAGTTGTATGCTAATTAGATGTAGTATTAAATACTTTATCTGGTTGATTGCTGTGAAAAATCCATGGGAATTGCTACTGTAGATTAATCACATAGAATTTTTATTTCTCTCCTGTGCTCTTTTAATAAATGTTTGTCTTATAAATCATTGTGAGGGAGAATAGGATTCCTAATATGCTTTGATTTATTGCTTTTGAGAAAGGCTTTGACTGTCTTTGGGTTGTTTTGTTTTTTAATAGAAATATAATGCTGATTATCAGCTCTCTGCAAAACAAGGTGCAGATACACTGGCTTACATTGCTCTCCTTGAAGAGAAGCTTCTTCCTGCTGTGGTAAGAGGAATCAGCCAATATTATAAACATAGTTATTGAAACATAGTTATTGTCTTATAAACCACGTCTTACACTTGGCTTAAAAAAATATTTATGTAGAGTCCACAATGTGATAGGCCCGAAGTGCATTCTGAACATAGAGCTGGCTGTCATTATCTTTTAGGAACTTAGATGCATTATTTAAATATTATTAAAACATAGTGACACACGATGTTCATTTTGTAGGTAACAAATTATACTGCTGGAAGGCTGGATAATACTACTCCCTGGCATGGAATTAAATGAACTATAAGAACTAATAAATCTTATAATTCGTCTAATATTCTGTTTGAGAGCCATTCTAATTAGGATTCGGCTCAGAGGTTTATGAAAAACTGTAACATTCTCTTTTTAAATAAGCGTTCTTTTTAATTTGCTTTTCTTTTGTGTAGCTCCATACATTCTGGGTTGAGAATGACAATTACTTTACTGTGACAAAGCCATGGTTTGCTTCACGGATCCCGTTTCCACTAAGCTTGATTCTGCCTGGAAGAATGTCTAAAAGAGCATTGAACAGGATCCTCATTACCAAGGGAGAGCCTCCTTTCTTCCACCTCAAAGAAGTAGAAGCCCAGGTACAGTTGAATGAGTTAAGGCACATATTATATCAGGAGAGGAGATGAGGAGATTAGCAAAGACCAACTTGTTACCTAAGGATGCCTTGCTAAAGCATTGATAGAATTTAGGATGCCTTTCCCATTCTTGAGATGATATTTCTCCCTATTAGATATATAGAGATGCCAAGGAGTGCCTAAATCTTCTATCAAACAGATTGGGAACATCTCAGTTTTTCTTTGGAAATATGTGAGTAATATGTCTTTTTAAAATACCAGTTTAATAATGCATGTACAAGTGTAAAATTGGAGATTGTTCACTGAACAAAACAAAGTTTTTTTGTAAAAATGTAATAGTTCTTCACTGTTTCTGTATTAGATTAAAGGTTTTTCAGTATAAATTTTTTTTCTCATTCTATGTGTCAGAGTCAAAGATTTATCTACTGTCTCTTAGAAGCTGGTGTTTATAGAACTGCTTCATTACCATACCATCTCTAGTCTTGGGCTGACCCTTGTGACCACAGATGTATATTTGCATAATATATGGGCTCTCTGATTTCTTAAATAACAGTAAGTTAGGTAATTGATTAAAGGATTGGTGGATACTTAATGAGTAAAAGCTTGTTTGACCTTCTATAATGAAATGGAAATTAAAGTACTTGTTCCACAGCACTACCTGATACCATTTAGAATTAAGAGACCTTTGGGTATAATTTAATTTTTAACAGCATTCCAAATGAATATTTTCCTATTTTGTGTAGTTTAAAGGTAGTTTCTTAATTTCCTATAGGCCTACTACCCTGGATGCCTATGTATTTGGTTTTCTTGCACCTCTTTACAAAGTATGCTTCCCTAAGGTCCAGTTACAAGAGCACCTGAAACAACTCTCCAATCTGTGTCGATTCTGTGATGACATCCTGAGTTGTTACTTTAGGCTTAGCTTTGCAGGTAAGTGATCTTTTGGCTTGGTCTATCTTTGTGTATAAACCAAGGGAATTTTTTTTTCCTATGGAGGTCTAATAGAAACTTTTGGAAAACTACTGTGATTGCTTCATTTTAATGGATATTTGTGGTTTTTTTTTAAAGACTTGTGTAAATGCTCATCATTTTTTAGATGTATTGTAAAAAAACATTTTTTAAACCCCACATTTTATTCTTGTATGTTGTTGATCCAAATATAATTGAAGAAATAGAGATCTTGGTTTTTTAAACTATTCTCGGATTCTGTAAATTTCTTGTTTTTAAAATATCAAACCTTATGAATAGATTCTCCTTTCTTATGCTAGACAACTAGAAAACCAATATATACAGAGTATGTTCTGATGAGAGGAGGGCAGCTTTTTTCCTTAAAGGATGTAGACAATTAATGCTTACCTGTCACTCACAGCATTTACTTGCTGCCTCCAGTCAGCAATGGATAGATTTAGGTGAAGGATACTTCATCGGTTATTACCTTACTCCTCAAATGATTGTGGCAAATTGAAAACAGTGATTACTTAGGGAAATTTGGTGGCTTGTGCTTGTAAAGGCCTGGTATATTTGATGAACGTGAGTAGAAAATATGTCTGACACCTTACTTATCCTTATAAAAGATGTAAGATATCCAGCAGAGTGAATGTATGTTATTGGTGGGGAAAAGAGTGATTTTGGAATAATTGAAGTAGCAAGTAATGCTACTACTGCTAATGAGGGAAGACCACACAAACACTTTGGTAAATGACCCAATCAGAACGAGTGGGGAAGCATCTGACAGTTTTAATTTCAGGGGAAAATGTTCACTCCTGCCTGTCTTTCACTAATGACTATGACTGCAGTATGAACCTTCAGCTGAAATGGCCTAAATTGCCACGAAGTTCATCTATAATCCTGTGATGCCACATTTGGAGTTTTCTGTTTGGAGCATGCATTAACTTTGCATTTAGCCACAAAATGCTTTTTCTCTTTGTTCTGGCGCTTTTACAGCAAGTGATCTAAATGGGCTTTGCAAATGGCTTTTCAAAATCCCTTGTCATTCTCTGATTTCTATCTTGGCTTTTTAGGCTTCTCTCCAGCGGGACAAGATACAATAGATGCAAATCTGCAGAAACTCACACAGCTTGTAAATAAGGAATCCAACTTGATTGAAAAGGTCATGTTTGCATTATCTCTGCTGTCTAATAATTTTCTTATTTCCACTTTTGCAGCTAATGTTGCAATTTAGGTGTGCATTAGCATAATATTTAGTAAATTACATTTACCATTATGGAGCCTTTGGGTAGTATTTTTGAAAAGGGAGTTTAAATAATCATTTATTCACAGCTAAATACAATTTAGTGTCTTGAAGTAGGTAATAAACTAATTACTCCGAGGAAAGATGACTGAATCATTGGTAATTCTGTTGAATAATCCAGTGAAGCAAATACAATAGTTGCTAGGTTTGGGTCGTGATCTCATTTCATGGTCAACTCTTTTCGTATTGGCGATGCTGGGTGTTTTTGCAAGGCACATAATAGTATACTTTTCCTTTGCTATTAGTGCTTCCCAAACTGAAGAGCCTAGAAGATTAACAAACAAAAGTAAACTAAACTCCTCATGCATTATCTGTCTCTCCCTTTTATTGAAGATTGACACATATTGTACAGAAAAGCACTTCCTGCTTATTTCTTCTCTTTAAGATATCTTCATCAAATAATATTCCTCCTCCCTGTACACAAAGCCGTTTTGTTCCCCTTATCCTAACTTTTCCCAGACTAAACCAAGGAAAGATATCACAAGTATTCTCCAATTTTCCAAAAGCACAGATATTTTGCACTGTTGGAGAAGGCTTGTACATTTGAGAGGGTGAAGATGCTGGTCATCATCAGGGTATGTTGAGGTAGAAGGATTTCACAGAACAAAATTTGAAAATGACACTTTCAGTATTGATGCCTTTTTGAGAGTAAAGGCTCTTCACCTTTGTTGTCCCGTGGACCCCTCTGGCTGTCTGGTGGAATAGATGGATGCTTCTTACAATGAGGTTTTTAAATGCACAAAATAAAATTCATAGGATTACAAAGGAAACCAATTGTATTGAAAGCTAGTTATCAACATTAAAAATAAAATCTTGGACCTCAGGTTAAGAACTCTTGTGTTAGAAGATCTTTTTTTTTTCTTAAAGTAATACATAATTCTTAATTCATGTATAATGCTTTGCATCTTAGGCCTCTCTTCATAACTTTTGCAGTTCAGTTAGCTCTTAGCATTGTATGATAAATTTTAAGAGTTGTCCCCATTTTTAGATGGAAGAAACTAAGTAATAAGAATATAAAGACCTGTTTCTGAAGTCACGTGGAAAGTAGAGTCATGTGTAAAATTTGGTCTGTTGCCTTACCCATCATATCCAGAAATCATGGGGAAATAATATTTTAAATGTTTGACAATTTATTAGAAAAGAGATAAAATACAAAAATCAGGTGATTTACTGACATTGATCCAGCACCCTCTGTGACTTAAGACATTAAGATATTAAAGATATTTCATGATCCCTTTAGATACTCAACTGTTATATTAGAGTTGTCCCTAACACTGCCACATGTGGCACTTAGGAGATAGAACTATGGTAAGTTGGTGTTATGGAAGAAAACAGGGAAGTCCTGAAGTGATCCCATCACATAACCCAGTAGTCTTACTAACCAGCACTTTGGGGGTTTCTACACTCAGGCATTCTGATGGGGCTCACTCTGACTCCCCCATGATCCAACATCTGACTTGACCCTTACCTTCTAGCATGCCTTTCTTCCCTTCTTAGAACAGACTTAGAACATTTACCAAGCATCTTTTGTAGTACCGTTACTCAGATTACTGGCAGAAAAAAAGTAAAAGGAGATTTATGAAACAGTTCTTGTAAGGAAAATTTACAAAATTCTGCATAAATGATCAAAATAGCTTACCAGTAAAACTCCCTTTAATTTCAAAAATTAGATACTTAACCTATTTTATTAAAAGGTCTTTATAACAAGGGTCACTGTACACGAATGTATGTCATACCTTTGTTTCTGTAAAACTGAGGTGAGGGTGGCTTTCTCCTTTTTAATTTGTGGCTGGGATGTGGAGTTAGTGGATATCTATAAAGCACCTTGAGACAGATAATAGATAAAAAGCACCTTGAACTCTGTTGGGAAATCAGCTTGGTAAGAGGGTAAAAAGATGCTGTTTACATTAATTCTCCTGTCTGGATGACACCTGCTTTAGGAGCTACTTTGAAACTGTGAGCCAAATGCCAAAGGCTAAATGGTATCACAAGTCCCCATGACAGGGAAATAAGATCCCTAGTAAATTAGGAAGTTGGATACCATTCCTAATCATTTCTATCTTAGTTTGGGGATCCAGGAATTCATTAGACTGTTATGGATCTGAGAATTCGCTAAACCATGTTTCATCAAGTCAGGGGTCTTGTTTTTCTAAATTGCCTATCTCCTTTAGTACTTATCTCAGTGCTCTGCATATAGAACGGGCTTACTATATGTTTGTTAAATTGAGTTGATGCTAATTGCTGTGGAAACAATGAACTTTTCTCCTCCTCTGTAGAGTAAACCATTTTAGCCTGGGAGTCCAGGGCCTTCCTTTATATTATAAATCTGTCTCTGTAGAGCATCTTTAGGACCCATCCAGTCTCTGAGAAACATCTTCATAGTCAGGATGAGCTGGGGCTGAAGTGACTCTTCCCTGATGTTGTTTACCTCCTCCTCTCTCTAGCAGGCTTCTGTGGGTCAGGTTTCATTGCTACCTGCTAATCCAGTTTGATAAAAAATACTTGGCTTGGTTCTGATTAAAGTTCTGTAGAATAGAATCAAAGGCATTACTCGTTATGTGATTGTCCCTCAGTTCAGTTAACATATCGGAGATGAGCCGTTTGGCCTTTTTCATCTATTTTGCCATTTTAACTGCAAATTAAAGGCTCTGTTAGAAGCCATGTGAACATATGGGCCATGAAACAATGCAAACCAGAAAGTTTGGGTGTGGAGACCACAGTCTGCACTAATGATGCTACAGACATGAGTCGGATGATCAGATGTATCTTTTGTACTCTCTGCAGATGGATGACAATCTTCGACAAAGCCCTCAACTTCCTCCTCGGAAACTGCCAACTCTCAAATTAACTAAAGCAGATGAAGAAAGCAATTCATTTCAGCCCCTTTCACCCTGACAGCCATCATTTTCTGTGCATGTGCTTCAGCTGCCTTCAAATCATTTGAATGCCACAGTAATCTTATAAACAAGTGTGGTCAGGCAAAAGGAAAGCTATTATAATAGGTACAAGTAAGACAATAAGACTGAAAGTAGACCCTCTCCATGCTGCTTGTTGCTCTATTAAGAAGCTTGTAGTCCAGCCTGATCATGCTCTTAAATGCAGTTAGGGTGAATTTTTAAAAAGAAAATATATTGTACTGTATGAAACCATCTTAACCTTGGCAAAATTTTGCCTTTGGTTCATACATTGTTGATCAAAAACTATAATTTCATTGTTCTGAATGTGCACTCTTAATTTATTCAAGTGTATTAATTTAATCTCCTTCAAACAATGTATGTAATACTATATAACTGTTTGGCTAAGGCTTTTTCCTCTGTTAAGAAACCTATGGTTTCTCTTGGTATTAGGAAAAGTGCAAAAACTTTCATTATTAATGGAAAATGCTGTCTTTAAATAGCAGTTAAAAAAAAATCTGTTTTTAATTAAGTTAATTAACCCAATCTTTTTGGTGTGGTTACTGTACACATCAAATATAAATGATGGTTTCACATTGTATTGGCCGATCCAGTGCCCTTCAGGATAATTTTATCACATGCTGATGTGTGTGCACATTGGAGGTTAGCAAGGGCCCTGATTAGTGTAATGCATCTATACTTTTGGCTTATCTCTAGACTCAGTGGGCGTCTAATTTAGATTCCAAGAGAATTGAGTCTGTTGGTATGGAGATGCCATATCATATCTAACTTTGCCCAGCTCAGGAGCTACCTAGGGCTAGGGTAACAAGGGTACTGCATGTCAAGTTCTGTAGCTACCCCAGGCTTTGCTCTATCTAAACCATTATACACAAGAAGTGTATAATGTACTCAAAACCTTTACAACAACCAACTCAGCTGTCTCTTAGACAGCAGTTGAAAAACCCAAAGGTATAGCTTAGAAAGCAGCTTTAAATTTTTAAGAATCTATTTTATCATTATTGGTTACTGAAGTGCTTAAGGGATTCAGCCGTAAGGGCCATTTTATTTCCAATTAGAAGCTTGCTTATTCTCAAGGCTAATGAGCTTCTTTTGTCTTAGAACTACATCTGGGGTTTTAAAAATATAGCAACATGTTTTTCGATCAGTGTCTTAAAGATTACTAACGGTGCTCAGTTCATCTTGTCAAGTTCTAATTCAGAGACCCATATGGCCAGAAACAGGTTTCATATCTAAGAGACTACTTTGTTCATTTCATGTTGATTTGAGCTCAGCAGTTTCTTGAATCCATCCTTCCTAAACTATTTAATTTGTTCTATCTTTAAGTCAATATTTATGTAAGAATCCATAAGTTCTTGTAAATATTGTATTGTCATCTTTAAAATTTCCTTTGTTTCTTCAGTTACTTTAGGAAAAGTATGTTAGCTAGTTTTCATGTTATTATTTAAATATTTGTTTCTGCTTCATTTATAAGTATAGGTTTAGATATAACAGCAGTCAAATCTACATGAATGTTTTGAAAATCATGAGCTTAGGAATTTAATGCTTGGGGAGCATATGTGTGACAAACAATGAGCAGAATTATGAATCACACTTTTGCTTATGCTTTTTTTAGAATGAACTATTTTAGCAAGATGTCCAGCTTTGCTTAAAGATATTAAATGTCTCTGAGTAAATGAAAATGTTTAAATTTCCACAAGTATGTAGGATAATATTAATAATGGCTTATATTTAGGTGGCTTTAGGGTTCACGAAATGCTTTCATTCATCTCTTTTGATAACATACTTTTTTATATTTCATAGGTGGGATCAGGCTCAGATATTACTTTTATGTGCTAATATCTTCAGTCAAAAGATATGACCTTTAACAAATTATTATACTTCACAGCAAACAAGTAAACATAAGTATGATTCATTTGCTAATTGTTCTTTCTAGCTTTGAATGTCTTTACCCATAACACATGTTGAACCGCTGTTCCTAAATCCTTTAGCTAAGAGTAGGACCTAATATTGACAAGTGAGGATTACTGTACTACAGTTGTATTTATATATATTTTTTCTCTTCAATAGATATCCTTTGGCTTTAAAGAACTTTTAGTTACTTCTTTTTGGTTATTTTTCTGTATAAGTAAATTTGATAATTCAAAGCTCAACCTAATAGCAAGTACTATAGGGACCACGCGTAGGAGGGAAAGGGACCAAAAATTTGCAGATTAATCAAGGATTGTAATCAGTCTAAGTCAATATATGTTTTAGACCAAGTTTGAGTTTTGGGAAAACTAGTCTTGGAACTGGAGGCCACTTTTGAAGGAAGTAGGTTAGGGAAAATAAGATTCATTTGCTGGGTTCATGTGGCTATGAGATGGCATAGGTTGGTTTAAAAAAAAAAAAGTAGAGGGAGGAAGACAGACAATACCCAGAAAACCAAGATCCAGTGCCTTCATGGGATATTTCAGATTAATGATAGGGCTGTAGAAAGCATAATGTTTTCATTATCTTAGAAAACTGCTCCCTACCCCCCAAAAAAGTTTCACATCAGCAAATCAGATTTCAATGTAAATGTGTAAATACAATTTGGTCACTTGGAGATTGAAAGTTGGTTAAATCTAAAGCCAAGTTTATGGCCTTTCAGTTTATAATTGTATTTCTGCCAAATATATGACAACTTACCAGAGGCATCTCAAGATATTGAAGAAAACAGCCGTTATGCAAAATCTATTGAATGCAATGGTTCAACAGCATTAAGGACTTTGCCCTAGGCAAATACCATCAACATCGGTTCAGTTTTTATGCTTGATTCTAACTTCTGAAAAGGAGGTGGCAGAACCAATGTGTAGTCAAGGACAGTCTGAAGAAGTAGATCATTTATATCAGCATTAGGAGATTATTGTCTAGAGGCTTCTGCTTGAAGGAAGAATCTGTATCCAGAATTCCAGAATAGAAAACTTTTATTATAATAACAGGAGATGGGAAAATCTAGCTTGGCAGAACCAAGGAGCTACAGTTTGAGTTAAACTAGGCCTTTGTCATTTTATCATGGAACTGTCTTCCAGATTAACTCTGTTGGTCCAAATTGGACCAGTAGACACAATTATCATAGACACTAACAGGTTCTCATTTAATGAGTTGTCAAACAAGATTCAGTTCTGAGGAACTGGTAGACGGAAGAAGGGAATAAAAGGTAAACATGTAGTTTAATTTATCTGTATTAATTTGGAATTTAGATCTTTAGATCATTAATTGTATTTACAGATATGAAGACCTGGGAAAAATTAAAATTTTTTTTCAAATTGCAAAATCTTGAATTGTGAAGTTTTTGGGGCATGTGTGATGAATAATATGTTTAAATGTTAATTTTTTCCTATAGGGCATTTTCCCCTTAAAAATTATTTCTATAGACCCATCCATGGTATCAGATAATCACAATTCCTATACCTTGAAGGCAAGCAGCACAGTGTAATTCTTATAAGCAAAAGAAAAATGTACCTGCTCTGAAGTAGGCACTGACATTTTAACCAGCTAATAAAGGGGGGAGGGGAGAAAATCTGCTTTGTTAGACCAGAAATGTAGAGACCCGAGTTCCAATCCTACCTATGCCATTTATTCTCTCTGTGACTGTGGGCAAGTCCCTTCTTCTCCTTGTGTCTCAGTTTTCTCAGTTGCAAAGGAAAGCCCTAACTAGCTCCCAAATGCTATGAATTATGATTTCTTATTGATGCAGGGCTTGATGGACAAGTTCCCATTCTTGGGAAAGCTTGAAGAATTGGAATTTTTTCCACCTATGGATAAACATACAATTTTCGCCACATATTTAAAAACATTTTTTATAGGCAGGAATGTGAAGGATGATAATACTGCTACAGCTTTTGGCTAGCTTGAAAACATCCTGTTTAGAATTTGATACTAAAAAAACACTTCTTTGGTCAAAGAAATAGGGAAAAGACTCATCTGTACCCAATTATTTATAGTAGCTTTTTGCTATGGCAAAGAGCTGGAAAATTACGGACTACCAATAAATTGGGCATGACTGAACAAGTGGTATAAATGTGATAGAATACTATTGGGCTGTAACAAATGATGAAAGGAACAATTTCTGAGAAACCTATGAAAACATGTATGAACTGAGAGTGAAGTAAGCAGAACCATGAGAATAATTTATACGATGCAAAAATACTGTAAAGACAACCTTGAAAGACTTGAGAACTCTGTTCAGTGCAGTGACCAACTGATGTAAGATCAGGCAGGCCTGGTGGTCTTGAGATCACCATGACAGTTTCCCCTTAAGGGAGGATGTAGCTTATAGACTATATTCTTGGAAAAATACTGACAATAACATTTTTTAAAGGTTGATACAACTGTGTTCCCCAAATAATATTTTTTCTACCCCCAGCTTGTATTTCTCCCTGATGACACCCCCCCAAATAATATTTTATCTACTGCCAGCTTGTTTTTTCTGCCTGATAACCCCCCCCAACAATATTTTGCCCTGATTCCTGATAAACAATTTGGCCAGCGCCAGGGAGGCCATCCAAAATCATAGAATAAGAACTTCACTCTCAGAAGAGCATTATGGAGCACACTTCCTCCATCAGGAGTGCACCTTCGTACTGGAACACCCCCTTTCTATTGGATGGACCCGTGTCTCTGCTCTCTAGCACAGTGCTGCACTTATGTAAGTTATACCCTATGTTAGTGTGTGTGCCTGAGTTGTATGACAGCTCCCCCTTTCCTCTTTTTCCTTCCTCTTTTTCCCCACTGCTTGCAGTAAAGCTTTGCATTGAACTGACTCTTGTTTTACATGTTATTCTCAGCATCTGCACTCATTACAAGGTTGTTTTCCCCTGCGTCTCTGGCTGGCCCACAGGCCTTTCCTTAGACATAAACTGAATACCCAAACAAGGACTTAACCTATTGACAGCTGCTGTGAACCCAGTTGTGGAAAGCAAGGGTCAATAGAGAAACCCAAAGTCCTCCCAGGTGGGACTCCCTTATGCCAGAGGACTGTCTCAAAACACCAAGCATATCACGATGACTCATGATGAAACATGCTAACTGCCTTTTGATGGAGAGCTTATGGACTCAGGATACAGATAGATATATCTTCCCACATATGCATGTGTATGTGTGTATACAAACACATACATATATGTATGTATACTTGTATGTATGTATTATGACGTGGCCATTGAAGGCATTTATTTTGGCTTGATATGTTTGTAGCTCATTTGATTTGGTTTATTTACAAAATGTGATATGTCAAATTTAAAAGTAGAGTTCAGGTAATTTTGCTAATTTATTTTACTTTTTAACATTTCTATTTGTTTACAAATGTAGCTATAAATTATTTAACTAAGGGATACTTAATTTTTATAAGTTTATGAGACTGGAAAAAATTGGAAAGGGAAATCGACATTATAGTAAAATAGTTGTTTTCTGATTTAATATCAGACTCCATAATATCAGATACTGAAAAGTTCCCGTCAGAGAAGGAAAAATAAAATTCAGCTTTTGGCTCATGGGATTTTGATGGGTGTCATTTCCTAAGCTCTCACTATCGGTAATCTCTACTCCTTTTAATACTTTATTTTTTATCACCATCATGGGCTTCTGCAAACTGAAGGCATGTAACTGGATTGGGACAGCTATCTTTTGTAAATTGATTTTTATTTTTAATTGGATGTGAATATTTCTAAGCACATATCTTTCTTTTGCATATTTCAGGAGATAGTTACATAAAAGCAGGCAAAAGTAAGGAGTCAGAAGATATATCATACAAAGGCCTTGGGACCATGGAATAGGAAGGAAGAATCCAGATTTGCACCATCTTAATGATCTTATAGGGTGTGTGCGTACCACTTTGTTTTTGTAAACCAAGAAGGGTGAACAAAGTATAGCAGCAGGGGATATTGAGTTGATGAAATAAAATAGGGGAAATTAGTTTTGCTTATACAGGCATATCTTATTTTATTGTATTTAACTTTATTGCACTTTGCAGATATTGTGGGGTTTTTTTTTTTGGTTGTTGCTTTGTTTTGTTTTTACAAAGGAAGGTTTGTGGCCACCCTGCAGGGTTGAGCAGGGTCACTAAAGCATCTTTAAAAAAAAATTGCAGAGAAGTGAGATGCATCTTCCAGCTAGTGATTTGCTTGGTGCCAAGGTCAGGAAGAAATGAGATTATCCAAGATTAATAAAATTGTCTTCATGATTGGATGGTTCATTATTATACTTAGTGCAGCCTACAGGGAAAGAGGCCTGCTGGCACCAAACAGGAATTTGGGGACAAGACCAGAAAATTTCACCTTTAGAAATTGAAACTAAAAATCGCCATAGCCAGGAGTAGAAGCCACTTGCCCCAAGACAGTGGTTTGTAAAGGAGTTATTGATAAAATTGTAGTGTCTCCCAAATGTGCTCAAGAGACCAGGCTATCTCCAGAAACTTCATCAAGGTTATTTTTGTTTGTTTTGGTATTTTACCAAGCTAAAAGGTAGAATGATTACTGGTTTTATGGGGGAAGACCTAGGTTCAAAGCCAGGCTTACTACCTGTGTGACTTTGGACCTATGCAGCCCTCTCCTTTGGCTTCAGTTTCATCTCTAACATAAAGAGAATGGCATTTTATGATTTTAGATCCTTTCCAATAACAAATCCTATGATTCGATGAAACACATATAAAATTAGAAATGATCTAATTAACTGTAATAAGCCCACTATGAAAAAAAAAAGTCACATGTGAAAAGATCCAGAGAGTTAGAATTGGTCACTGTTAATCCAGTGCCATCCAAGGTAGAAAGGGGGATCGGGTAGACAGAGGGTATTCTATTCATTAAAGTGGTATGTTCTCCACTGTCTAGGGTGGCTCTACCACAGCTCCTTTCCTCTGATTCTTTGCTGTCTAAGAAACCTCCTAATGGACTAGTTTCCCAGGTTTTGGGAAAGAGATGTTCTTGGTAATGACCATGAGTATTATTGTCACTGGAAAGCTCTACCCCTTCTCTCTCCCTCTCTACTCTCCTCCCCCACCATTGTAAATTAACATTATTTTTCAAGTTTAAATTAATACATTTAGAAAAGAAAAAAGAAGGATGACTAGAAAGAAGCACAGACAAGCAGGACAGCTTTGAAAGCTACAGGTTGAACCTAAAAAGAAAAACATAATAGTGATCTGTAGTTTCATGTCCAATTCTTTTTATTTTTTTTCAGTTCTATTCTGTATTTGGAAATGTCCATTTTTTGGGGGGTGGTGTTTGAATTCAGATAAAAATAATTTTTTAAAAGTTCTGTTAACCAAAAATCACAGTTCCATAAGACATGGGTAATAAGTTGATTTATTACAAGAGAAATGAACATGCATGTGGAACTCCTTATACCAAGTATGAAGTAGTTTGCATTTCAGGCAGAAATTTGAATATTAAAAGAGGGAAGTCTCGTGGGAGGAGTGGAGGGCAATCTCCTCCCAAATGGGAATGGCATGGAAAGAGGAAGGGAGCAGTAGGGGAAGTGAAAGGTGGAGAAAGAGAGGGGGAACAGGAGTAAGTAGGATGGCAAAAGTAGCATTCTTTTCCCTTGGGAACTGCTAGACTATCAAGATATGGTGGTGTGCTTATCTATAAGGGTCTCAGTGGTACAAACAGTTTATCAGTCTCGTGCAGACTTACTGGTGCTTGTCTTGTAGTTGGTTTGAACTCTCAAGGACACTGAGAGTACAGCTCGGGAACATATGGCAACTCAAGAAGACAGGTTAAGCTGGCTTCAGGACAACATCACCAGACATTGGGTTTCACATATCATTGATGTCTTGAAGTATGTAGGCATATCTGTCCTTGGATATCTCAACCCATGTTAATTCTAGGTCAAACTTTAAAAATAAATTTCAACAGTTGTAGGAACTGTGCTCAGTTACATTCACGATTCATAGTTGCTGCATTATGCAAAACAAAACGGATGGTTATTGTTCAAAATGTTTGCCTTTGATCAGAATGAAAATTTAGGTTATTCAAAATATATAATAAGTTCAGTTAAATATGAGTGGGATAGAACCAACTATAAGGGGTGGCAATTAGAAGGAGGCAAATTTAGGCTTGATATCAGGAAAAGCTAAAAATTAGAGTTATCCTGAAGTGGAATGGATATCTTGAGAGATGGAAGATTTCCTTTCCTTGAAAGTCTTCAAGCAGACACTGGATGACCACTGGTCAGATCTGTTATAATGAGAATTCCTTTATTGTATGGGTTGGACTGAATGGTTGTTAGGTCCCTTTCCAATTCTCAAATTCTGTGATTCTGTCAACATATA